ATATAGGTGTTAGTATTGGTATTATGTGACTTCAGGTCACTTTGGATTTATGGTGACCCATCTCAGAGTTTTTTAGGTACCATTTACCCAGAAATGGTTTACCATTCCCTTCTTTTGGGAGTACCCTCGGACAGTGCAGCTTGAATAAGGTTAGATAGGCTGGCTCTTCTCCAAGGAGGCACAGAGAGGAACCAAACTCCCAGCTAGGTACCCAGCTCAATGATATATCCAGGCAGGACAATTAAGTGCCGATAAGTCCCATTTACCCACTAAGTTCCCTATAGTTGAAACTCAGATTTAGCCCATAAACCAGTAGTGGGTAGACTTTGAAGGGGCTGGTCCTGTGGTTCCCCCTTTCTTTCTTACAGAATTATATTTTAAAAAATCTAGAAAAGCTATCTTTCATTCTCTAGTGATAAAAGTTTTTTTTTAAATGTGTGGAATACCCCAGGAGATATTGGAAGCCACTTTTGGACCTTTGAGAACTGCATGTGGCCATGGGCTGTATGTTGTGCACACCTATCATAATAAATCGTAGGAGTGCAGAACAAGATCTTTGAAACTGCAATCTGAGCAGGCACACAGTTCACCTGGTTAGACTAAGGAACTAATCACCATCACAGCTAAGAAAACTAACCAGGAACACAGCTAAGAGAATTAACTTTTTGAGAAGTAAAGGAAGAAGAATGGTGGCAAATGTTGTGTTTATGTAAAAGAAAACATAATACTAAGATGCTGTCAAGTCAACTTCAACTTATGGAGACCCTTTCCAGGACTTTCTAGGTATAGAGTACCTTCTGGGGATATTCTGGGACAGTGTGGCTACATAGGCTAACTCTATAGGACTTTGGAAGAAAGAGGGACAATGGCCTGCTGTTCCGGACCCATGTCTAAAGTACAGTATTATTAACCACGTTAGTTTTCTTGCGGCTGCCTGAGCCATGATTTTAGCATGAGCATTCTTTCTTCTTTCTCCAAGGGCATGAAGCAGTTGCTGTTTAAGACCTCAAGGAACATATTCAGTTATCCTTGCCTATTATTCATCCCTATAATTATGTGTAGGAGCCTTATGGTGCAGTGGTTAAACTGCTATACTGCAGCTAAGACCTTACTCATGTCCTGAGTTCAATACAGACTGGCTCTGGTAGCCGGTTGAAGGTTAACTCAGCCTTCAATCCTTCCAAGGATTGGTAAATTGACTATCCAGCTATGCTTTAAGTGCTATAGAGTGATACATAAGCAACACACTTTGATTTTGCTTTCTTTACTACTTGTTACATTTATACTTTATGTAAGTCCCAATCTGCATATGACTGGGCACTAAATTTTGAGTATGTTTGAGGAAGAAAAGAAATTCCTTCCTAAGTCTATATTTAGCCATCAATCTTTCGCGTGCAAACAAAAATCATCATGATTAAGCCACAGTTAATCCTCTTTATGCCATAAGATATCACTAATATCTATGTAATTAGCTAGTTTTCTTTCCATTCTTTCTGTTCTTTGTCATTTTAATTTTGTTACTGCTTGGTATGGCTGAGAATAATGTAGAGGATACTGATAATTTTATCTGGAGGATGAAAATCTCCCAATTTAATACATAGCCATTTAATTTTCATGCCTGCCCACATTTTTTTTATTGTAGCCAGGGAGTTCAACTTTATCCATTCCCAAATCCTTGTGATCCCCTTTAAGATGCTTACATACACAAGAAGATCCCCCCTGTAGTCATTTCATCTTCATACTGTATAGTCTTAAGATCATTATTGTGGTTCCCACCAACACAACAAAGTTGTTCTATACTCAGTGTTCAATCCTGTAGCTCTTCCCCATTTCCTCGTCTTAAGCATATGCTATGAAGGTATGAATCTCAAAATTCCAGCTAAGTCCTTCAGCTTCTGACATAATTCTTTCTGCCCTGTCTTAAAATTAAACTGCAACTGCACAGCTGGAAGCCAGTCAGTTTCTCTTGGCATGGTACTCCTGTGCTCTGAACCCTTTACCTTTGGCAAAGAGTACAGTACTGGTAAATAAACTCTATCTGCATTGCAGTCCAACTGCGGGAGACTGAGACCTGTAAAGACTGGTTAAGATGGGCTTAATTTACAGTGTAAAATCCAGCAGCAATTGCAGATAATTAGAATAAGTAAGTAAAAGAGTTAGATTCAAAATGTAAGGCTTTGATTAATTGATTCTGAAAAGAATAGCAGCACTGCATAAAACCTGAATGGGTACTATAAGGTTGTATGTGGAGCATTTTGAGTTCATAGTGCAGGCAGTTTCCAAGGGTTGAAAGGACACATTGGTCCCCTAGAACCCACTGCAGTCTAAAACATACACATAACACCACATTCCAAAGCCATCCAGAGCTTCCCTACCACACACAAAATGGTAAAAAAAAAGGTGCTGTTTACCCTTAAACATATTCATTTTATTTTAAAGCAAGGGATGTACTCCTTGTGTGTCCTCTTTACGGGACTGGTACTTCTGGGAGGCATTAAGAAAAGTCTGGCTATAAAGAAAAAAATGAGCAGGGATTGGACATTTTAAGACAATCATATTTCCCTTAGATGTGAAACAGCAGCACACATTCCCCTTGCATTGGCTGCCCGTTCGGTTCTGTGTAGATTTCAAAGTCCTAATGCTTACGCATAAAACCCTAAATGGTTTAGGGCCTCATTACCGTCTCCCACCTAGTTCTACCCGTATCACCCGATCTAGCCAGGAGGTGAAACTGAGGAGCCAAACGCTGAGGGAGGCCCGGAAGGAAAAAACAAGAAACTGGGCCTTCTTGGTGGTGGCTCCTCATCTTTGGAATAGCCTCCCTCCTGAGATTTGCATGGCCCCTTTGCCGGGCATCTTCAAACGCCAATTGAAAACCTGGCTGTTTAAGCAAGCCTTTCCTCCATCCACTGTCTGATGTTGTTTCTTGTGTTTTTCTCCCATCTTGGATCTTTTTGTTTTTTAGTAATATATTGTTATGATTTTAAATTGTAATTGTTGTATGATATGTTATTACCCGCCCAGAGAGTAGTCTATATGACTAGATGGGTGGGCAATAAATGTAATGAATGAATGAATGAATAAATAAATATTAGATCCAGCAATTGCTAGAGCAGAGGACCTTGGGGGCTGCAAAAATGGATGCCATGCCACCTATGGGCCTCATGTTGCCCACTGGTAAACTAGTGGCTCTCCTATACATGCCATACTCTATGCATACTTTGTCAGGGACAGGCTGTGAGCAGCGGGCTAAGTTGAATCAGGAGATATGGGAGAATTTCCCAGTATGAACCATAAATTAAGAGGAAGTCAGGAACAAAGGACAGTTCAAAGAATCCAGTAATATTCCATAGTCTAGGAAAATATTCCATAATCTAAGGAAGGCTTCACTGCACCAGGAAAGCCTTCAAAAGTGCTTAGAGCACTTAAAGCCCTCTCCTGGTGGTGTACAACATAAAATCATACAGGCTACATATTGCTGCTGCACTCAGTAAGCTGGGTACAGTGGACCCTTGACTTACAGACGGCTTGACTTACAGACTTTTTGAGTTACAGACTTCTCTGGCCGCAAAATTTAGGTTTGACTTGCAGACTGAGATTTGATTTACAGACCAGAAAAAAACCAAAATGGAACAAAAACGGCCTGTTACGGGATTAATCGGTTTTCAATGCACTGTAGGTCAATGGAGACTTGACTTACAGACTTTTTGACTTGAGAACCGCCTTCCAATACGGATTAAGTTCTCAAGTCAAGACCCCACTGTACTTGGAAGGATGGAAGGCTAAGTCAATCTCACACCAGCTATCTGAACCTCTTGGGATCAAACGTAGGTCATAGGCAGAGTCAGCAGAGTCTTGGTTGCATTGCTGCACTTTAACCATTGTGCCTCAAGGCTCCTAAGTGTTTTCTGTTTAGGAGGATACAATCGGCAGCCTTGATGCATGGGGTGGGTGTCCCATACTTGTTTGAGTTAGCAATAGGAAGCCATCTGGCTTATTCATCCAGATGGCTATAGGGTTGTAACAAGTATGAGCAGGATCCCTAACTACATGAGGGCTTATATCATGCTTCAGGGGTTGTAACATGTATGAGCAGGATCCATAACTTCCATTGGAAGTAAGTTGGGTAAGATCCTAAAATGTTAGAGAATGCAATTTTAAAGTAGTTCTGCCTATGAGAAGAGTGAAGGAAAATAGAGAAGGATGATTGTTAGACTGCAGTGGTTGTTAGCTGTCTCAGTCAGTTCTTGCAGTAATGCCTAGCATATATTAGGTACTGCTGGGGGGCAGGAAGGGGAAGATATGCTAATCCTGTCTACCTGCCCCACCTTTTACCCCTCCTTTCTTCTAGAAAGTACCCAAGTTGTCTTATATAATTAAAACACAATATGAAAAGATGAAAACTGTAAATTATTCAAATGTGGAGGCAGTTCGTGTCATTCTGCCAACTCCTGCGACGTTGCTGGAACCAGTTATATTGGCTCTTGCCTTTCCAGTGGACCATTTCAGCTACGTGGAGAGGGGGGATTTGCTGCTTGGGTAACAGCCTATCCTCCATACTACTTTACCCAGGATTCATGCTATAGAGAGGACACTTCTCGATACAGAGCATGTTATACTGTATTTATTTTGGAACTGCCCACAAGAACCTGATGCACAGCCTTGAGGAAGATGATTTATCATCGAAAACTCAAGTGTTGTGTTCTTAATGGTCGATTAAAGGTATCCCCTATTCCTGCATTTGTATTGTTTCCACAACCATGTGGCCTTTTCCTGATTCCCCCCCCCGTAATATAATAGTAACAGCTCATCAGTTCTAAAATGAAAAAAAAATACTCAAAATATAATCTAAGAAATCTAACATAAAAGCTAAAGCTAAACGATGGCAGAAATGCATTGTGACATAAATGCATCATGGCTCAAGGGAGGATGCCTTTAAAAGCTTCTGTGAACAGCCTTGTCTTGAGCTTCCTCTCGAAAACTGGGAGGGAGGGGGCCTGGCACAGTTTTATTGGGAGCCCATTCTATAAGGATGGGGCCACATCCAAGGTGGCTTGATTTCTTGTAGATGTCTTCTTGGCCTGTCTCAATGTGGCAATGCATAACAGCATGGCCTGCGAGGATCAGGTGGTGTGGGTTGAGGTTCTTAGGGAAAGGTACTCTGGAATACTGAAAGGTAATTAATAACATTATATTAAAAATGTCGGGTAAAGGCATATCTGGAACAAATGTAGAAGCAACAAAATACAAACCATTCCGGACAGTCAGGAAAAACCTGCCCGAAAAGAAAGGTTTTTGCCTGCCTGCAGACCAACAGCAAAGATGGGAATAGCCTGGTCTCTGTGGGAGGGAGTTGTAGAGTCTGGGAGTAGAGAAGGCCCTCTCCCATGTCCCCACCAAATGCACCTGTGATGATGGTGGAACCAAGAGAAAGGCCTCCCTTGGTGATCTTAACACCCAGGCAGTCTAATAAAGGTAGATGCAGTACTTGAGAAAGCTTGAACTCAAGCTTTTTAGGGCTTTACAGGTTAAAACCAGTACTTTGAATTCTGCCTGGAACCAGATGGACAGCCAGTGGTGATTCTGAAGTGGGAGAGGGAGTTATGTGATCCATTAATCAGCCCTAGTTAACAGTCTGGCTGCAGCATTTTGGACCTGCTGAAGTTTCCAAGCATTTTCCAAAAGCAGCCCCGTCGTCAGTAACATCACGCCAAAGTGCAGAAGTAGCCTGGCTGGTACTTCCCCGCCTCCCTGCGCTGCTGACCACTCAGGAGAGGAGGCGAGATGACAAGTCTCCCTGCTCAGTTGCTGAGTGGTCAGCAGCACAAGGAGGTGGGGAAGCATCAGCTGGACTACTTCTGTGATTGGTGTGATGTGACCGCTGATGGACGTGAGCATGAGTGCACCAGGCTGCTTCTGGGGGGAGGTTCAAAGGGCCTGGCCATCTGTGGTGGCAATATTCATATTTTCCCCAAAGAGACGAATAGTCTGCTGGAGTCTAGCAGAATGGACTCTTCTTGATTACAATACTGAGGTGACTGGAACCTCCTGGGGCTAAACACTGAGTGTATACTTTTTAATACTGGGCTATGTTCCAAGGAACGCATACAATAAATGCAGTCTTTTACACTGATTCTACAGCAAGCTACCAATACAACATATAAATCCTTTGAACTTTTCTCCCCTGTCCCTGTAAAACTAAAAAGTTGACTTGTTTCATTCAGTGATGACAGCGTCGGGTATTTTTCTTTGTTAAGCTTTGAAGTGTATGCAATTACATAGCCAACGAGTATATATATCATGTTATACACACCCTGCATTATGATAATAAAATCCACAGTCTTCGATGGAAGAGAATCCTTTTTCCTCTGCATCCCAGCTGAAGGATAATAGCTATGATTAAGAAAATGGCTGTATTAGAGCCTTTGAATTTCCATTTTTTCAAATTTATAACATTTGCAGTTGATACAGTAACCCCATGGTTTGCATTCAACTGTTCTAGGAACTTAATGATATTATTCTTTCATTAATACAGTTGTCATAGAATATTTAGGATCCTGGCCTGAGATCTAAGCAGATAATTGAGGCTCAGGGTTTGGTTTAGGGTTTTTTTTTTCTTGAAGCCCCTGCTGTCACAGGTCATTTCCAGCTTATTCTCCAATTATACATGATCTCCTCTCAATCCTTTGCTGCCTGCTTGCATAGCAATCAAACCGGGGAATAAATTCTTCAGAGAGGTTCTCTTGTGCACACTGGAATCTCTTCATGTAACGATGTGAAGATTCTATCCTAACCCTTTAAGTCTTATAAGAACCAGAAGAGCATGCCGTAGAAGCAGGAATGGAGCCATATTAAATATCCTTGCCCCTAAAAGTATGTCACTCCATGGGCACACTCCAGCAGGTATCACAGTGAGTGCCTGCGGGACCTGGCATGATCAGGATTCTGAATTACATGGAAGCATCCACAAATACAGGAGTACATACAAAAATCTCACTGCTAGAAGAGTTTGCTTCATAAGTGTGGATGCATGTGACAAGAATGCTCTGAAGTGATGCAGTGTCAGGGGTGGCCCCACGCCATGACATTTAAATTGAACTTCTCTAGGAGTTCCTGGTCACATCAGCTATCATTTGTTCAAAATTGCTTGACTCATTCTTGAGGGCTTGTGTGAAGAAAGAATGGAAACATCTTGAGTATACCATTTTATGCTTTTGGAATAATAAGGACAGGATGCAAATTGAATGAATAAAAGTCAGCTAAGCAGTTAAACTGACCATAAATACTATTAGGGAAGAATGCAAAAAAAAATCCAATTCCTGTAGTAAAAAGAGAAGAAAAACTTAGATGATTGAAGAAACGCTTAAAATTGTAAAGGACAGAAGCAAAAATAACAAGTGACAGAAATAGGGTTGGAAATCTGAATGCAGTTTTTCAGTGATTGTTGCATAGAAACAAAGAGAATTACTACAACAATATGACAACCACTGCAAAGGAATAGAGTAGAACAACAAAAGGAGAAAGACAAGATTCAGAAAAGGAGCAAAGCACTGGATTTAATATATCAAGGTACAGTATAGCAACTCATTGGGTCTAGTAGAATGAGACAGAGCAAGTCACAAGATTTGAAAACGCCATCTATATGTCATGTTATTGTTTTACATATTACAAAACCATTATTTCAATACACTTCCAGTTCTCTCCTTTGTTTACAGCTATCATTTGTAAAAACATGCAACTATCAGGTATATTATTTTATATTGATCTTGCTTCCAGACTCAGCAGGAGTTAATTGTTTTGCAGTAACTTTTAATAAACTGCTACTCAAATCTCATTTTAAAAATACGACTTTCATTTTCAAGTCTGCTATTTTTTTGACTCCATTGAATTATTTTAAAACTACCCACACAAAATTTCACACCTTGACACCATCCGTTTCCAGAAATCTTGCTTGAGCTACTCACATTTTAATAATTTTGCAGGGCAGCTACACTCTTCTACGCAACTGCCGAAGCCCACCGTTGCCTCCATTTCAGTGAATTATTGTGTGGTTCCTCAAACCTTTAAGGTGCAATTTGTTCTACACATACCTGGAAGTAAGCTCTAATGATTTCAATAGACCATATTTCTGAGCAGATCTAAACAGTTCATTTGAGTTCCTGTGATGACGGAAACCTAATATAACTACAAAACATTATTACAGCAGGGATCATACTGCTGTCTTTGAACTCTTGTTGTCCATTTTATCTGTTCACATATTGACAGGAGAACTGAAAGCTGTCCTAATAATTGCCTCTAATCTTATTCTGTGTATTTATAGTATAACAACACTTCCCCTGAAGTGGTGCCTCTTGCTGGTCTCCCACTGAAGGGCATTTTCACAGTACTACCTTTATGGAACTAGTGTTATCACACTTGGTACATGAGGTGTTGCTGCCTCCTTGCTAGATTTCTGTTGCTCATTGGATTCGATCTCAAAATTCTTTTGATTACATTTCAGTTGAATTTTGGAGTTTTGTTCAATTATTCTGAGCTGGCTGGATAGTTCAGTGGTTTAAGTATCTGATGGTTGAGCCAAAGGTTGGAAGTTTAATTCCCCACTGTGCCTCTTGTGAGTAGAGCCGGCCTGTGTAGTCATGGGCACCCCAAGAAGAAGGGAAAAGTAAACCCTTTCTGAGTATTCTTTACCTGGAAAACCCTGGAAAAGGACTAGACAGCACAAGATTATTATTTTTTAATTTATTCTCAGTAATTGTGGGAATTAATGCTGCCTTAACATAGACCTTCGTGTTGCAAGGTTTTTCCTGTGCTTGTTTGAAAGATAGCTTTGATGCCTGGAGGAATCCTTGTTTCTGTGGGATGATTTTCATGAATCAGTCAGTGTCCTTTGCTGCAGCCCTTACCTTCCAGTTCATTATAGCCACCTATTAATTTTCATTGGCTTCACTTATCTCCTCCAACATACAGCTCCATGACACACCCATTTCAGATATTGTTACAGAAGGCCATTCCTGGTCTGATTGATAACTCTTGGTGTGTTTAGAGAAAAGGGGAAAGAGAGAAGAGAGGAAAGGGGCTATATTTATGAAACCTTGTTTTGAAGCAGGCAACTGGGTGGCTTGTGTGTTGACATTTCAAACTTGACCTTTCCTATTGCCCTGTTTTTGAGGCAGGGAATGAAAATACAGAGGGGTTAAAGGAAAAACAAATAGTAATTTCCATTTGTTTTTCATGGTCACATCACTGTGACTTTTATGGCGTTTCCTCATTTTCATCTTGTTTGTCTATGACTCAGTTACTCTTTCAGCATTAAGCACCCCATCAAGGCAGATTTCCACATGAAACAAGGCAGCTGTTAAAGCTGTTTTAAACAGCTTTTTATACGTTCATTTTTACTCTTTATATAGCACCCTCTCAGAAGCTAGGCCATATTTTTTCTCCCTCATGACCTTAGTCTTTTTCCATTTGACAGGCTTCAGTTCTCCACCCCCTTTTCCTGCTGTGTTCCTATGTTATCAGACACTAATAGGATTGTTTATTTAACTATCACCACCTCATTTTGTATAGTTGTCTGTGGGATATCTAGTCACCCTTGTTTATGTACTAGTTCTGAAGATTTATATAGGGGCAAAGCATTTAGTTGACAGCCAGATTGGTAGCAACCATAGACAAATACTAGCTTAATGATAAAAGTATTACTACTATTACTGCAGTGTGTCTAATGCTTTCATGTAAGATGACATAGTTGAGAACTCGTTAATATGGCATGGAATTGTGCCATATTAACTTGGTTTTACTGCAGTATGTCTAATGTAAGATGACATGGTTGAGAACTCATTTAAACAAGTGGCATGGAATTGTGCCATATTAACTTGGTATAATTGAAGGGAACAGGCTATGGCTCAGTCATAGAGCCTGTTCTTTGAATCTAGAGATGGTCTCAGGATCAATACTTGGGAAGGCTGGGAAAAACTCCTGTCTAAAACAAGGGACAGTGTCGGTCAGTAGGTGTCCTACTGTAGCCTAGATGTCTCCGGTCATCATGAGTGGCTGGATAAAGAAAATTTTAAAAATCTCATGTGAAACCTGGGAAAGCAGTACAGACACAAGAACAATCAAAAGGCAGAATTGAGAGTTTAGCCAAGATTATATTAAGTGGAGGTTGACAAGGGACAGAAAGCAACTGAGCTATGAGAATGTGGGAGACTGGGAGTCTGGCAAGCAAGAATTCACCCAACTGCACGTAGACAGGAATGCTATTCTTGCAGCAGTAGAAAGCTGAAGGATAAAATAGGCTTGTCCTCCAGAAACCCACCCCAAACCAGCAACAGAGATCTAGTTTTAAAAGATTCCTGCTACTGAGGAAACCCATACTCTCTAAAACTCCTCTTCTTCCAAAGACCCTCCTTACTCTTCAAGAACCAGGAATCGGGGCCCTTAACCACATGCTTTGTCAGCAGGAGTCTGCCCATCCCTGAAACCTTTACACCAATGCCCCATTGTGCTGTACCTCTGACTCCACAGGCAATGCAGGTTCAGTCAGGGATGCTAGTTGAGTCTGGTGACATGTCTACTGTCGCTGATGGCCCTGATCCATCATCTATAATAGTGAGGGAGATATATTTAAGGGAATGCTGAAACTGCATGGGGAGGGGCTCATGGAGATTTCCATTTCAGATTCTTTCTCTGATGTTTCTGGACATGACAGTAGACAAAATTAAGATGGATGGGCCTATTGTCTGTCGGCAGAAGATTTTTTTTTGCCTCCATTATCTGTGTGTTATATGATAACTGACAGCAACATCAGGTTCCTGATGGCTTCTAATCACATTCAGCTGAATGCCTTGAATGCATGAACAACCCACTTTCGGGCCTTCCTGCTTCGCATGTGAAATTTTGTGGTGGATCCAGCAAGGGCAATGATGCTGGCGACATACTTGGCATACATTGGCTGGTGCCTCTACTTGTTCCTCAAGTTCCATCTTTGAACATCTGAATGCAAGTGCTAAGAGCATATTATGTAATGGGAAGAAGCTATATGTCTCACTTATTTTAAGAGATATATCTATTGCTTTTAGCTGTAAATATCGTCTTTTAATTATGAAAGCCACCTTAGGTCCTTCTTAAGGAGAAAAGTGAGGCAGAAATGTTTTAAATAAATAAATAAATCTTCCTGTTTTCTGTTTTCGCATTGAACTATTACAGCATCTGCAAAATGACCATTACACTGATACAGAAACCATTTACAAATATTGCTCATATATTTGTCATCTTCCTGCAGTTCTGTGACTTAACATTTGCCATATGTTCTGAGAGCATAAAAAGAGCATTTTTCAATCAGATCAAAAGCCCAAATATGGCCTTCTGTTCCCTTTGAGGTCAATGAAATGCCTATAGGAAACACACAAGAGCTGGCAAATTGTACCTTTTTGGCCATAATTGTTGGGGGATCCCAGGAGTTGTGCACAAAGATAGGCTTGTATAAGTTCTGCTTTCTCTTAGTCAGTTCCTCAGTAGCTGATACTCTGAAGCAATGTATAAACATCATGAGTGGTAGCCACCAACAGCTAGTAATTATATTTCGATTGTCTCCCTATTGTTTTTATGAACAAAAACAAGATCCAGGTCAAATGTGGAAAAATGCTTAAAGGAATTTTGTTTTGATGAAACACACATGATATATATTTTTTAAAATGCTTTGATTCCTTAAACCACAGTGGGTTTATTTTTAGAATAATACATACTGCCGATTAGCTGCAGAACATTTAAAATGCACTGAGTGAGTTTTGTTGCTGTTTGTATCACCCGTAATTTGTGGAGATGGAAATCACTGCAGAGGGCATGACCACAGAATTGTGACATCTTTCTGACCTTTTCTTCCCTGCCAGACATACTTAAGTAAAGGGATTCCCTCCTGACTGGCCAGGCAGGTCAGTATGGCATGGAGGATTAATGTCAGCTTGGAGAAAATGAGCTCAAGTCTTTAACTGTGTTGATATTTGTTCCTTTAAAAAAAAAAATCCAGTGATCTGGAGTTATGTTCTTGATCCTCTCTTTGATAACTTTCAAACAGGGATGACTTGGTAGTAGTTTTATTTTTTCTCATTTTTTATTTTTGCTTTGCTAACGTTTTTTTAAGGAGAATATTCTGCATCAACCTGAAATTTAAGAGGGACAAAAACAGGGTGAACAGGTTCTGCAGAAGAAACCACCAGTTACTGGAACAAAATAATGGAATCTTAGGGTGAGGTTTCTTTTTGTGTATTTCCTCTTTTATTTGGGCTAATACCAAATGCTAACTCCAGGAAGGTACTGTATTGTTAAGTGCACAATGTCCTGCCCACACACTACATGTCCTTATGCTGCTCTTTTTTTCTGGACAGGTTGATCTAGCAGCATTTTCCTAATCTTCCCCTGCTTGTGTTTCCATACCTGACTATCTATCTATCTCCCTACCTATCTCCATTCAATTTTTGTTTTAAAAAGAAAAAGATATGGATCACAACTTACACACAGACACATCAAGCACCCAAGTCCTTCTTTGAGATATAATCAAATAATGAAACAATTAACTTCTGGGAGCTCCTTTCTTTCTACATATAGACCTCTTCACAGGTTCCCTCCCCAACAGTGTATGTTGTTGTTGTTTAGTCATTAAGTCATGTCCGACTCTTCGTGACCCCATGGACCAGAGCACGCCAGGCCTTCCTGTCTTCCACTGCCTCCCGGAGTTGGGTCAAATTCATGTTGGTAGCTTCGGTGACACTGTCCATCCATCTTGTCCTCTGTCGTCCCCTTCTCCTCTTGCCCTCACACTTTCCCAACATCAGGGTCTTTTCCAGGGAGTCTTCTCTTCTCATGAGATGGCCAAAGTATTGAAGCCTCAACTTCAGGATCTGTTCTTCCAGTGAGCACTCAGGGTTGATTTCCTTCAGAATGGATAGGTTTGATCTCCTTGCAGTCCAGGAAAAACCACAGCGTCTCCTCCAGCATCAATTCTTCGGTGGTCATCTCTCACTTCCATACAACACTACTG